TGTTCTTAAATTGAAATTCTCCGAACGACCTCTAAACGATGCCGCGTCGCAGTCGACGTAGACTAGTTGGTGACTCACCGAGCACTGCTGGATGTGTTTCTTTAATAATTCATAAACTTTATTCATCGTACACAGGTAATATAGCGCCCAAGTTATAGTCCATATCGCTCGTGCAGTGCGACAATTGTCGGGTTTATTAAATAGTACAATACCTATTGTTTTATTTCATTGTGGATTGTACTGTTTAGAAATAGTGAAAATAGAATAACATATTCGCGCCATTAGTTCTTTATTTTATCTAAGTAATTACACCTACTTTAATTCTGTTTTAAATTCTTCCGATTTTAAAGCGGCTCAATTGTGACTCCACGAATTCGAAAAACGGTAACACTTTACTAAATTCTTGATATTATTTCCATAAGTCGCCGTAGATATTTATTTAGGGTATACCTCAACTTCATCGTGAGCATTGTTAAAATAATAATACCTTACATTTGTCAAGACAGTTGATTCCTTCTGAATCTTAAAATCTTAAACACGAGTTGATTCCGTGACGCAGTTACGATAGATAGATAGACAGAAGATATTGGCTTCTGCGCCGAGGGTTGTGGGTTCGATTCCCACATGGGACAGATAATATGTCTGCGACCCAAAGATTATTCCCAAGGATAATTGTTCCCGATCTGGCTGTTTGTCAACGTGAAATTTATGTTTGTAAAATATCCTTACAAAACACACGATAATTTTATTCTAAAGTAAGGGCAAAGTTTAGAAAAAAAAGATTAGCAATCATCGCATCCGTCTCAGGTAAAAACAAAGACGTGATAGAACCTCTTGACCAGGGCGTTAACGACTATCAAGATAGCTTTCGTTTTTATCTATTTCACTTGGACGTATTACAAAAAAAAATCGACAAACCGGCGTCCGGTCGGCGGTCGGCAACCGATGCAGACATTCCAGGTAAAATTATTTCTATCTGACATTCACACGTCCTAGACGGGGAAGAGAGGCGCGCGCCGAAAAACGCCATTGGCGTTAACGTATTCGCATCTAAAACATGCGTTCCTTGGAGCGAGCACGAACGAACGTAAACGTTCGTTCATTGTTTATCACAATGTCGTTTTTGCTTTCGCAATTTTCGACATCGAGCGCACTAAGAGACGTCAATTGGCGACTCGTATTAAATTATTTCATTTGCGAAGATGTTGCGAACCTCGTTCCCGCAAGAACGTTTGTCTTCTCGTCCATAAAAATAAATTGCTGCGATTTTGTATATTATCTGCCTCAGCAAATTGTTATTATTATTATCTGGTTCCAATGCAGGACGAAGGCTCCTACGCTCTCCTACTTACATTCTTATAAGTACCTATATTTTTTATGAGAGAAAGTAACAAGCGCGAGTTCTGGCGGTTCAACTGGGGTTAATAGACCACCACCCATTTACATTTGCAACACACGTAGGGTCGCATATTAATATATAACCTTATTAATAAAGTGGGCACCGGCTACTAGTCAACAGACGAAACGCAGAAGTATAACACTTCCTCTTAACGCCGGTGCTCTGAGAGGTCGTGGCACTTACCCGGTCGGACCTGCCCATTCGTGCAACAAGAAGACTGTTGCGTGGCCCTACTCTGATGTTCCGTTTCATAAATTGTTTCCCAAAGAACTTACGTTGTAAATAAGGTGTGAAATTACTTCGAGAGTGAGGACAATTTGCTTACACGGCTCTATTACAATTGTATAATCACTTCAATGTGATAATACCACCCATTAGCTTCTGGCACGTTAATGGGCTGAGCCTTCATAAGAAGACCGACGTGAAATATAATTAATGTTTACACTTTTGAATATCGCTCGCTGAAAAAGTTAACCGGACTTGACCTGTCAAAGTTAATGACGCAACTACAACACACCTATTGAATGCAACACCACTTGAGTGTTTTCCATTTAACTTAGCTTCAAGTGACCGACTCATCGTTTGTTACTACTCAATTAACTTCAAACTAATTAAAAGAAAAAGGTAAAAGATTTTTGGTATATTTATTTATTTATTTATTGACAAGAAAAGTTGCAAATAAATATTTTTTTCTCTATGCGCCCTAGATGGTTCGGTGGCGCAGTAAGTTATTGGCTTTGGCGCCGGCGGTCGCGGGTTCGATTCCCAGGCGAGACAATTATTTGAGTGTCTCACAGATGATTGTTCCGGATTTGGGTGTTTATTCCAAAGGATGGTTGACGTTGTCGCAAGTGACCGGGTTTAAAAAACTTAGCCAATATCATTAACAAGATGATTCACATTTTGTACCAATCGCGCAAATATGGGAGAAAGAAAAGGATTATATGCAATAGACTCAAAGAGTTAGGAATAGGATGATGATGATAGATGAGAATAGCATGTGCGAGGTGGTTGATTAAGCTTAGGAAGGTATTCGCTATTGACATTAATATTTATGGATTGTTCTACGCATTTATAAGAGCTGACGAATAGACAATGAAGTAAACGGCTGCAGTGTAACGTAATTTCCTCGAAAGAGGGCTTTTACACTGCAACCGTTTTCTGCATTGGCACATAAAGTGCAACTGGCCTGAAGTATTCTGAAAAGTCTCAATATATATATACTATACAATTTAATCTAGGACAAGCTGACCCAGTTTGAATCTAGTCCGTAGAATTTATTGATCTATAAGTCTTGATTTATTTTATAATACTGTATTTTTATTGGTATCCATTATAGTACTCCTTATTATTAACATTGACAAATACCTATCAAATAAATGTCTCAGCATTTGAGTAATCATAAATAAAATTTCAATATGGAAGAGCTATTTATATTTTTCCACAGTACAATTTCATATACAATAACAGGCCACAATCGATTATTATTAACTAGACCATACACAATTTTGTTATGAACAAAGCGTAGAGTGTACGATAAAATGTTCTTAGGTAGGTATTTACGATGTGTACAAACTTTACTAATCAAAACTTGCAAAGTAAACTTGAGGTAGGGTGTAGTTAAGAACAATTGAACAAAAGAGCTCAAACTGTCACATCGACACAATCCCGTATGCTTTTGCTTACGTTTTTAAAGCTCGCAGAATATCCGGTATTCTACGTGTGGCCGAATATACTATTCTAATTGCTAGTCTAATTATTATCTAAGAATTACTTTCCGTAATCGCATTTGTTGTAGTGGAAGTGAACCAGTCCCTTGCACCGGGGGGTGTGGGATCGCGATCCCCACTACTGCAAAAATTTGTATGATGAACATAGTGTTCTTCTAATGTCTGAGTCAGCTCAGTTTATACGCCTATTGAATGTACTTATTTACAAGGAAATGTATGTTTTAGTATGTTTATCAGTTACCAGTGTCCATAATACGAGCTTTAGCTTATTTTGGAACTAGATTTGAATTGGATCATTGGGTAGATATGTCCTGATACATACGTAAACCACTCACATGTGCCATTTATAGGTATAGGCAGAGATTACTTTGTCACGATATTTGCACGTATTTCGCCTCATCCGCGTATGCAACTCAGCCGATCTAGTGCGAGTGGTTAAAATAACAAACTTCGGTCTGAAAGCTTGCAGGGGGATGCCGCGACGTCCGTTATTAATTACTTAGGAGTGCATGACTCAATCGAGTGAGTCAAAGCAAACGCCAAGCGGCTGCAGAGATAAGGCGGGGCAATAAAAGTTGTGTTTATTTACGCGGCCCGAGGAAGAGGGTTGTTAAGTACGATTGTACGGGTACTGGCGTGTAATAAAGTGCTTCAGCTAAGCAGTAAGTCGGTTTTTTAGGAGTCCAATATCAGACTCCTTATTGATATGTCATAAGAGTGAACTTCGCTTATGGATAGATTCAATGCTTGTTAATTAATGCCTATTCTAGTCCCTCGAGTGCAGTTGCCAATCTGACTTCGTCAGCGCTGTAACTCTCGTGACGGTTAATCTCGCGCTGACTGCGATAAAATCGAATTGTATATTCGATTACACTTAATGAGGTTTTCCACATCACTAATCAAGGGTACAAAACTAAACGAACCTTGAAGCTCTAGGGTACTACGATATATCCAGCTGTGCTGTATGAAAGCGCCATAATTAGTCTGCGGAGACCATTAATATTCATTTGCGACTCCTGCGAAAAGGATGAGCCTTTTCCGGTTCCAAAAAGGTACAAAGTAAACCTTTTCACCGCGACTGTACCGGAATAGCGATGCTTGTTTATACTATGCCGTGTCCTAATTTAAGAGTAGTTAAGAACAGACCAGTACATACGTATCAGCTGCTCCGACGTTATACAAATATACATATTATATAAGTTCCGTTCCCATTCATACGTTACCGTGATATATTGCTAGGAGATAAAGAACGAATACTTATTGTTAGAGCTTTAAATTAAGACACGCTACATTATGCTTCCCTTTTATTATGCTTTCAAAGTCGACGGTTTTAACGACCGACATTAGTTAATATAAATCATCTACAATTTTAAATAGCAGTTCTATTTATACATCAACACCAGTTCAACTTCTCCATCGATGATAGTTATCACGAGTTTCTCAATACTATGGTTCACGAGGAGACGTCTAAGAATAGACGACGAGTGTGTTACTGTGGTAGGGCCACGGAACAGTCTTCGCTTGTGAACAAGTGGGCAGATCCATCCGGGGAAATACCACGTTCTCACAGAAGACCGGCATGAAATGGAAGTGTTATATTTCTGTTCATCGTTTCGTCTGCTGAATGAGGTAATCGGAGCCCACTTTATTAAAAGGTGGCAGGGCATTTGTGACTCTACGGGTGTAGCAAATGTCCATGAGCGGAGATTATCACTTAACATCAGGTGACCCTCCAGCTCAATTGCCATGTTGTTACATAAAATTATGCTTTGATCATGCATTGAGGCTGATTGGATTAATACATTCGCGCGGAAAAATAAATAATGCTAGCGAACATTTAAAATCGACATTTAAAATCGTTTTTACTTTTACTGGTCACTGACCTTCAAGCACTTGAGACAGAAGGTGTGCTGGCAGGGCAGCACGCGCGAGGAGGTGTCGAGCCTCTCCAGGCACACGGAGCACTCCAGTAGGTCGTTGAGTAGACCCTCATCCATTCCGTTTGGAACCTGTGTCAGAGTATGAGTTGATTATAAAAAGACTAGCGACCCGTCCCGGCTTCGCACGGGTGCAATGTATTATACATATAAACCTTCTTCTAGAATAACTCTATCCAGTAAAACAAACCGCATCAAGATCAGTTTTAAAGATCTAAGCAAACATAGAGACTGACATTCAGCGGAACGACTTTGTTTTATACTATGTAGTGATTATTATATATTATTATATATTCTTTATTGAACACCAAAAAAACATGAAAGGAAATGTTACAGAACTATAAACTTAAGAGGTATAAACAATAAGGCGGTCTTATCGCTAAGGAGCGATCTCTTCCAGACAACCTTGTGGTTAAAAATATTTAATTTGGACAATGGTAGGTGGTGTAAATGATAAACTTACATACTAATATTTAAATAAACTAAACGAATATGTTGTATTTTTGGATAATAATAATATACTAATATATACGAAATAAGATCCAATAGACATACATAAATCTAAACATATACTGTACAATAACTTACAAATAATACTATATACAGGAAGAAAAGAATAAAAAATAAATATACAAATGTCGTCGGTGATAATCAGCTTGAACACAGTGACAGATAATAATTTTTAACGTCAGTTTTAAACTTGCGTAACGTTTTTGAGCGCTGGATGTGTGGAGGAAGCTGTGATGTGAAGTGATGTGCTGTTTCTAAATAATAATTTTAATATAAAAAATTTTTGGCTGATTAGTGAAGATCCACAGATGTCATTAAGAGATTTAGTGACATCTATGGACTTTTGCAAAATAAACACCAATAGGATTGTAGGTGCCTTGCCAACCTTTAGGAGATTGTGCTCGCAGTCACCCCAGAGTGAAGTCGAAACACCTACACCCAGTTTCCGAAAGCGCAATCAATTTTAATTTACGATAAATCTCTTGTCAATCGTTGTTTAACATGATCTGAGTTGCTAGAACGTCTTAAACAACATTGATTTTGATTTGCAATTAGTCACTGATTAACGGACAATCAACAGAAAATCGAGTTTCTGAAAGCGTTTTTCTGTGCTCAACGAGCTGTCAAAAGATTTATTAAGTAATCTGTCAATTTGGACGATCAATCGTTGGTTAAAAATGTTACTTATCAAAAATCTTAGTTTTTATTAAAAAAAAACATAATTCCCTAATATGTTGTTAGGACATTCATGTGTTCTATTACCTATTTATTATTTATTATTATGCGAATATATCATGTGATTAGAAAAAATACAACATGCAATTCAAAAGTTAATAAATAATATGGATTCTTTCTTTTTATAATAGATACTTACTTGTTTATTATGGATAAAAGTTCATTATTTTCACGTTCTGTAAAGTTTTTTTTGACATTTTGCATGTATTTACATAAATTAAATTTTATTATAGCTCGGATTTTTACGTTGGCAATCACACGGTGACAGGACTGGATAGTGACGTTAATTTAAGTTTGTTTAGAAAGGGACAGCTATACAATAGAAAGAGTTAGTTGAAGTAAATCATTCATTTCATTCATTAACATTGGTTATACAGTGATTAGCTAATTTTTCTTGAACATACCTTCCAGAAACCCAAGGCAGTTTAACAAGAGATTAACAGCTGATCATTTTTGACATAGTGTTATGTGATTGCTGCTTTGATTGGCCTTTCGGAAACTGGGCAATAGTGACTGATATTACGTTTTAAGGAAACCGAGAAATATTTGGATGGACTGTGTGAAGAATGATATGTCTGTGAAAGGGGTCAGTATTGAGATGACGGCTGATAGAGGAAATAAGTAGATAAATCAAAAAAGATATTGATAACTTGAATAATTCTAAACACTCTAACTCGACAATGAAGATCCTTAATTCGAGTGCAGGAAACAGACATACTAAATGAAATCTTATACAGCATGTCGTTACCATCGCGAAAATAAATGAACACACGTCTAACGCTACTTGCCAATAATCATAAAAAATATTAACGTTAAAAAAAATCCATAATTTAAAAAAAATATTTTTCAAACAAACTAATTAAGTACAAAAGAAAAAAATATGTAACATCCTATACAACTCGAGCCACAGCGTCGTATTACAAGCCTCTCCTTTTAACAGTATGTTTTGTCTCTTTTAAATTCATTCAACCCATTCATATGCTTTGTGACCTTTACAAATGAACTTTACGTTACGCTTTTATAGGTAAGCGTGTTCTAAAATTCTTTGTTTTGGAAAATTTAATAACTCTGTAAATATTGATGTTTAAAGAGTTTAAATGTTTAATAGAACTTTAAAAAGTTATCCCCTATATGTGTGTTCATTTATTGTCGCGATGGTAACGACACGCTCTATATAAAAATGGATTGCTCTTCGTTAGTCTCGCTAAAACTCGAGAACGGCTGGACCGATTTGGCTAATTTTGTTTGAAATATTTTGATTGTTTTGAAATATTTGTGGCAGTCTAGGGAAGGTTTAAACGATGAGAAATTATGAAAAATTGCATAGAAAATCGAAATAGCAACAATTTTATTTTCCCATACAAACTGTACCTGTCAACCTGTCAACTATGTCTGTGTCAAACACTGTGCGTTCCGATTCCTCTAGAAATAATTTATATGGCAAAACAATGTTTGCCGAGTAGTTAATAAATAAAAGTTTTCAAGTTTATATGGGGTTAAGTGCAAAAACTTCAGGTAATATATAATTATTTTCTCGAAATATAATTAATCTATATAAACTATATAAAAATCGATTGATCGATATAGGTATTATTAAACGATGTAAATGATATCTTAGCTCATCGCTTGGTTTCAGACATTTATTTGGAATTAAAATTAAAATAATTTTTTAACCACGAGATTTTTCGTAGTCTCTCCCTGTTTTCATTGAAATTATTGCATTTTGACTATCGAATTCTTCAGTTTCCTTGGTGTTTAAACAGTGTTCTCAATTTCCAACAATAAATCTACTAGTAAGATTTTTAGTAAAAGAAAACCGACTTGAAATATCTCTCTTTTTTCGGTTGATAAGAACACAATAACCTTTAAATAGACGATGTGCGGCTTGGCTAAGAACTCCCACGCACTGACATTATTTGGGTCTAGCCCTGCTGTCAACCCCTAATCTGATTAGCTCACAAAATTTTCACGTTTTTCAGACCGCGAAACTCATGGTAATACCGGCGAAAATTACACACGACAATCTTGATTCTAATAACTCTATAATAAGTTCAATCGGACATTTCATCGCATACATGACGGTGAACCTTATAGTACACCGGATACAATGAGGCCCGCGGTGGTTAATGCTCGTGAGGAAACCGAAGGAAATCTTTGGGATGCAACCCACGACTGTACAACCCCGAAGTGCCAAACATGTAACATAAAATAAAAAAGGTCTGACATTGAGCGCGTATTACGGTGAAACTACTGCATACATTTCAATTAATTATTCTATGTTTTAATTCTAAGACACTAGGTCCTTATCTAAAAATATGTGATATCTTTATTTTATGTAAAGTTATTAATTTTTTAAGAAACAACGATTTTTATAAGCACCACATGTTCAGTGATGTGATTTTCTACCTGTGATCTTCTAACCTATGCCTCAAATCTATTTATGACATTTATTTTTATTCTATAGGTAATTTGTATTATATTATGTATGTTTTTCTCGGGAGCAATAAACAAAATAGATCACCCGGAGACCTAGCCGCCACGGGTGATTTTCTTTTTTTTTTATGTGAGAAGTTGCTAAACGAGGTTCACCTGGTGTTAAGTGAATACCGACGCCCATGGACATCTGGTACACCCAAGGGTTGGCAGATGCGTTGACAACCTTTTTGGAAAGTGGGCTCCAGCTACCTCACTCATCAGACGAAACGCGAAAGTATTTGTCATACTTCCACTTTACTACAAATGCTAAAGCAAAGAAATATCCCACTGTCGGGCAAAACCCTCCTTGGTACAGAGGGTGTTAGGGCATAGACCATAGCGCGACCCCACTGCGGATTTTCAGACTTCATATATCCTCGAAACATTTTTTTATTTATTTCACAAATATGCCCGTTTCCTCACGGTGTTTTTCTTTACCGCCGAGCACGTGATACAAAAGCTATCCACCAGTATTCTGTACCGTTTGAACAAGATCGTTTGGTTGTTTAAACCAATCGCCTTCACAATAGCGGCAGACGGCACATCTCCATTCACGGAACGACGCAGCGTAGCAGCACGCGATGCGACGAGTGACGCTAGCTAGTGTCGGCGGCGGAAGTGTCTGTTCCCCCTACGGCTGGCGGATCTAATGTGCGCCGCCACCGTTAGGCGACATCCGCCCGTGAGCGTCGCGGAGGGAAAACTCTATTTCCTTTTGTCTATGATTTGATGCACTTCCGAGGAGTTGTAGAAGTAAATGCGACTGCAGCGGCCTATGATTAAGACTAAAAGCGGATGACGTCATAACGGGATGCCCGTCACAAATTTCCTCAGGTCGTGATTGATGCAGCTTTACACAGTAAACACTACAGACTTGTTAAACCACTGAGGGGAGAAATCATCATCTGATAAACAAACAGATTAATATTCCTTGGATTTACTTATATACTACAACATGTTGGTACTTAATAAAAATACTTTACATATTTGTCGCATTGGAAATGTTAAGATAAAATACTTTAAAAAATCCCTTAAACACTTTTTAATCATATTTATAATTGCTTTAATTTTTTGTTTGATCGGGTGTACCTAGTGTACGCGTTGTGTTGGTTTCGCCGTGCTCGAGGGCGAGGCCGAACTATGGTGTTTGTTGATGCACTAACTGTGTAGTGTTATTTGGTGGTACCCTCGACGGTGGATCCGGGTATCTAAGTCCCCTTCCTCGACCGGGTCGCTGAGGACGTTGCGCGGGCGACGCTTGTTAACGTTCGCGTTAATGTCGGGTTGGTAATTTGCTGCGCTTACCACCAGAGGGTTGGGATAATATTCGGCTCTGTCGAAGAACCTTTTGATGAGAACTTAGCTAATAAGGATAAGAGAAACTTGGTTAATAGTAATTTAAAAGCTACATGGAGCAGTTGCCAAAGTAGGCTTATTGGCTCGGGCGCCGGTAGGTCGTGGGTTTGATTGCCACACAGGACAACTGTTTGACTATCATCATCATCATCATCATTTCAGCCTGTTTGAGTCCACTGCTGAACATAGGCCTCCCCCACAGACTGCCATGAAGTACGATCCTGAGCCACCTGCATCCATCGACTTCCAACACATTTGCACAGGTCGTCACGGTCGTCGGTTTGACTATGTCAAGTTTATATATGTAAAACATCCTTACAACACAAACTAATGCTATCCTACATTCACGGACAATGTTTTTTTTTTTTTTTTTTTAAAGAAATCAATCTTAAAATCCTGAGAAATCAGACATTTCCCAAGTCTGACGAACAAAAAAAACTAGACTATTAAAATATTATCAGACAATGTTCACAATGTCAATTATGCAATGTTTTGTATTGATACTTGTTTGTGGCGCACTTACTGATCACTATCAGAACTAAATCACTATTTAGTAGTCTATTCCTAGGAACTACATATACATATGTAATAGGACATCCAAATGAAACAGCTGCATGTAGCTAGCATAATTCTATTCTAATAGATAAGGCTGTTGCATACTTTAAGTGGAGAGACCTGGTCAGAGCGGTCAGAGCTCCATGGTAATGGTAATGCTAAACATATGTGATGTTATATGATGTTTTCCTAATTAGGCCTAATGGCATTTAACTTTTGACTAAGTTTGGAAAATTTTGTGAGAACTATGTGAGAAACCACTCTGTGGAACGAGCTGCTGCTGGAGGTCTTTCCATAGCGTTACCTGGGAACCTTCAAGAAGAGAGCTTACTCTTTCAGGCCGGCAACACATTTATAAGCCCTCGGGTGTTGCAGGTGTTCATGGGTGACAGTAATCACTTACCATCAGGTGAGCCTCCTGCTCATTGGCGCCTTTTCTCCATAAAAAAGATTTTAACTATTGCTCCTGCCCTTCCACATAACACTCAAAAGGAAAACCGTGGGAGTGTTATGTGACCGTGACTGGTAATAAGAAAAGGTATGGAAAGACAATAGGGACGGAGATGCCTCTCTTTAATATAGTATATTTGTCACTCAAATTTTAATTGTATCTCAAAAGTATATTGAACTCAGAGAGTATATATGTGTTTTATAAATGTATTTAACACTAGTGGACCATCTTGGCTTTGCAAGGGTTGCATTTATTATCAACAAACTTATTAAAAATTATATCACAGAATCACCCAGAGCTAATCTTAAGAATAACTGATAATTTGATTGACATTTGTTCAGCCATTTTCAGTTCATGGACTCAAAATACCAGAAGTTATTAAATTATATATTTTGATAAGAAAAAAAGAATTTAAAAAAAGAATTTAAAATAATAATAAGCTATGTACATTTTAATATATTCATAGCTTAATAAATCATTAGCATATAATTAAGTGTATTATTTCTAATCTTTATTAAACAAAATATATTTCTTGGAATCCAGTCACAAGTAATATCTTTCAAGTTCCTTCTTTAAGTTCCTCAGGACTTCACTATCATTGCATGTAAGTTTAATGAAATAAATAATTTGTTTAAATCCTCTATATAGGGGGATTTAGAACTCCACCTATAAAGTTCTGCATTGTGTAAGCTCTAGCTTAGCTGTAAACCATTACTGGATAACTCAATAGGATATTTTAGTCTCAAGCCTCTCTAGTATGGAACAAAATTCTAATAATTATCATTCCAAATAAAATATGCGTTTTTGAAAAATGGTACAGTTTGATATAATATTTAGTAATTTTTGTTCAGTTTTTTTTTTAAATATACATCCCCAAAGATTGCAATGCGAACACAATTCACTTTATCCTATAATAGTTGTAATCACTGGATTCTTATCAAGGTAGTCTGTTTATATACGAAACAGTTCCGGTTTATAAAGTAAAATAATAAATGTCCTCATTTTCTGCCAAACAATACAATATTTTTATTAGCAATAATAACTTTTTACTTCGTATAGTAAAAAATTTTACGAAAACAATCAAATCTATGTGTTAAAAGTCTGTAGTCCTCTGTGAGGAATGCGCCAAGCAAAATAGAAAACAACTTTTGTTTTTTTAAGTTCAACTGACAAATTTATTTTTATGTTTGTTGTTTCTGTTATAGCTTATAAGCTTAAAACGTGGGTGACTCACCAAATTGTTTAAATTCCAAAGATGCGAGCGGGAAGTCGTACCATTATTGCACGGCACGAAACAGACTCAGGATTCCACCCCGAACACTCACAAAATTCGGCACACCAACGCTTTCAAACAACACATTTCTACGAAAAACACTATTTATACCGACAATACAAACATTTAAAAGGTTGTGTACTAGGTTTAGTACTAATTTAAATATACACTATTCACACAAAAACGAATACAATTTCACAATTCACATACAAATTCCAATCTAGCCGCTTACTCCCTTCATTCGTTCGACTACATGTACAATTGTACATTCCTCGAAGCAGAAGCGGGGGCGGGTGGGCGAGCGGGCGAGCGAGATTATAGACTGTTCAAGACTATCACCTGGAGTTGCACTATAGAATTTAAAAAAACCAAAGGTATAACAATTTCTCCACAAATGAATACTATTAATATTTAAAAAAAGCAAGTTTAAGATTTGTGCGTTATAATAAATTTAAAACAAGGATTTTATAAATAGAGCTAAATATAAATAAATTAAAAAAGTGTTAGTCGTGTAATTAAAATTTACTAAATTGGTAGAAAAATTGAAGAGAAAAGTAGAAGTACTTTAAAATGTTTATATAATATAAATTTTCTGCAACTATTAAATCTCCAAATAATATCACGCATTCCTGCTTTAAATATATCGATAAGATAAATTATTTACAAGTTTTATAGCTTTTTTTTATTTATTGGTGTATTGAAAAAAAATATTCACATTATTAAGCAATAATTAAATTACATGTTATCAAACAAACCTTGCCCTCTGATGTCCCGTCACAACAATGAGGCGTGAACTTATTTTACTATAGAAAATAATGTTTTTTAATAGTTTTACTTTTATTTAAATTTGATCCCTTGAGAGAGATGCAAAGCCATTGTTTGGATGCTACTTATGTGGATGACACTTTGGCTGCCTCTTATCTATGGGGTACTTCGGTCAGGGCCGGAGATTATGTATTTGTGCCATGTGCTGTTGAAACTTTGGTTCCATGGAGTCCCCGTACATCGAAATTTATAAAAGGATTACATTTACACTACAGACAAGAGAGCTAGTTCTTTCCTCGCTCAAAGGTTAAGCATAACTATTCAACGAGAAAATGCTGCCAGCGTTCTTGGCACCATGCCGCATGATAATGCATACATATTTACAAACTATTCAAAACATGTACTACTATAGAATAGACATGAAGAAATTAGTAGAAAAGAGTTTTAAAGTTATTGATCCGCGCAGGGCCGAATTTAGGGGAAGGCAGGCCTGAAGATGAAGCCCGGGTTCTCCACAAAAGAAGGGCCCTCACAATAGAGACTTCGGAAAAATAATCAAATTCAGACTAATTAGAAAAAAAAATATGAAAGCAATAGTTGTTTACGCTTTTTACCTTAACCTACAGTACTTTGTACGAACATGATTACATTATATAAGAGCATTAAAAGTGATTTGCTTTGGGAACTGAATTTCAGCCAAATAACCAACGTTTTTTCGGCGAAAAAAGCTCGGAAGGTTCCTTACGTTAACGCTTAAATTTAATTTTAAATAATTCTTGTTTCCCATTATATTTTTATGTTCGTTAAATAATAAAATAATCTATACGTGGTTTCATAATAAATTATTTTTGGAAAAGTCAAAAAAATTTTACTCAAAACTCGTTTATTTAATTTGGATAATAATCTGGGGCCTGGATGCGGAAGGAGCATGCAGAGTATATATTAACATTAAACACGAAACCAGAGTTGCGTTAAAAAATATATTCAAATTGACACGAATTCGAGTCTGAAATAAATATCCATATATCGCGATAGTGAATATCGACGAGATATATCGAAAATTGTATGGTAAAATATCGATATTTTTTGCACATGCCTAATTCAATGTACTCTCTGTTTAAATGTCAATGTCATAGTGACAGCTGCTGTCAACATAATTATTTTCATTAGGGATGGGTCGTATCGCTTTTTCTGAGTACCGTATCTGAATCCGATATCGATTTCAAATATCAGATTTCGAAACTATGTATTTTAATATCTAGATATTTTACGGTTCCCTATCCACGTTGATTAATAGAATTCTAAAAAAAAAAAAAAAAAAAAAAAAAAATTATTAAAAATATAAATGATTTATGATGAAAATGATTTATTTTAACATCTTATATACCGCTTAATAATTGACTTTAACATATTTTTAGAACACGCAATCGAGTGGCAATATTTTTATTATTTGTGTAAGAAATAATACATTCAGTATTATAGCTTAGGGCGGAAGAATTTAAAATATACACACAAGGCACATAAGCCTTGGTCTGATTTCCACCAAAGCAGCACAGCACTATTAAATTATATTTTTCTTTTTGTGTACTTTTATCTTTTTCCAAAAATATGAATAAAATTCAGCTAATAAAAATATTCACAAAAAATTTACCTCCTAAAAAATTTACATTGTATATTTTTCTTCCTTAATTTAGGCAGAAAATTCTTAAGTAGTAAGTTGGCATCCCTTACTATTACGTGTTAAGTACCAATGCAATCCAGCTCAAGGCTGAACAAAATTTCAAAGACATCGTTAATACCGTAATTCGTATTTAAATGCAACAGAGTTTTTTTCCATGCTGTTTAAGATTCAAAATTACTTAACTGCGCGCTTTGTCGCCCGTTACGGCTCAAGGCTAAACAAAACAATAAAAATATAATAATATCGTTGTAGTAATCGCTGATACCAAGATTAGTATTTAAATGAAACGGATCTTATTTGCATGGTGTTAAGATTCAAAATTACTTAACTTATTCATAATATCTGTTTAAAAATCTGATATCGTGCATTGCTTGCCGTCCCACTCTAACTAGTAAGTATTTATATCTCACGCGCTTTGTCGCTCAATATCTGATATCGTGCATTGCTTGCTGTCCCACTCTAACTAGTAAGTGTTTATATCTCACGCGCTTTGTCGCTCGATATCTGATATCGTGCATTGCTTGCCGTCCCACTCTAACTAGTAAGTATTTATATCTCACGCGCTTTGTCGCTCAATATCTGATATCGTGCATTGCTTGCTGTCCCACTCTAACTAGTAAGTGTTTATATCTCACGCGCTTTGTCGCTCAATATCTGATATCGTGCATTGCTTGCCGTCCCACTCTAACTAGTAAGTGTTTATATCTCACGCGCTTTGTCGCTCGATATCTGATATCGTGCATTGCTTGCCGTCCCACTCTAACTAGTAAGTATTTATATCTCACGCGCTTTGTCGCTCAATATCTGATATCGTGCATTGCTTGCCGTCCCACTCTAACTAGTAAGTGTTTATATCTCACGCGCTTTGTCGCTCGATATCTGATATCGTGCATTGCTTGCTGTCCCACTCTAACTAGTAAGTATTTATATCTCACGCGCTTTGTCGCTCGATATCTGATATCGTGCATTGCTTGCCGTCCCACTCTAACTAGTAAGTATTTATATCTCACGCGCTTTGTCGCTCGATATCTGATATCGTGCATTGCTTGCCGTCCCGCTCTAACTAGTGAGTATTTGTATCTCACGCGCTTTGTCTCTCGAAATCTGTTTAAAAATCAGATATTGTGGCAAACGCGTATGATATCGCCGTATCGCGATTCGTGTCGGTATAGCGAGCGAGCACGGTACATCAGATTTCGGAAATATCAGATATTGTAAAATACATAGATATTGAACGAGCCAGTAAGCGATATTGGGATATTGTACTAATATCTAGTTTTCATATCTGATACGATTTGTATCGCCCACTTCTAATTTTCATGGTTTACGTTTTTGTATACTTAATATTTCGAATATAAAACATATACTATTACGAAAATGTCTCGTGATAAAAGCGTTTGGTTTGCAGAAGAGATATTGTTAGACGCAAAACTAATTAATTTTCAGTTGGAGACTGGAGAATGGGATGCCGTGGAAGAAATGCTACGTGCTGAAGCACAGTTATCCAGAGATGCTGAGACCGGGCGATTAAGACCGTACGTACTATTCTACGTAAAAATAAATTTCTGAAAATCGGTTTAGCTCGGCTTATTGAAGTTCATTGTTATTATTGATGTCGCCCCGTTTCAGTGCTCCTTAATATAAGTGTACAACTAATGTAACTAACTTACTACGTACTAACTGTATAATCAGTTTGGGGTTGGGTTTTGAATCATGTCCTGACTTTAAGTACACTAAGTTTGGGGGGGTTAAGGAGGTTCGTACTAAGCACTAATGCATTTTATTCTGCCGGAGATGCATAAAAATTGAATAAGCTATTTTCTAAAATTTCTTAAATCTTACGTGATACTTATTGTGAAATGGAATGTAATTTTGATAAATTTCAGTGTGTTTTCGAAGATGCGAATAATAAAAAAAATCTTAAATGATAGAGAAAACTCACTAATGATTTAATAAATAAGCAGAATTTTCCAGTCGCTTAAAAATTAAACTTGTTATTTTCACTAAGAAAGTCCGCCATTTTCTTAATTTGAATTCAAAAACTACATAGTACTGCCAACATGAAGGCAAGGTCAAACTCATATTGATTGTTCGATTAATTTTTTTTTAATTTAATAACTCACCAGTCCGACATGGAGCAATCCGACTTGGACAGTTTAGGTTAGAAGGTTATTATAATTATTATGAAAATAACAACAAAGGCTTAGCTTCCACCTTAGCCTTAATGTTATTTATTTTTTATAATCACTCAGAAATAGAAACAGAATTAACATGTTGCCAACAACAAAGGCAAAATACAAACAAATATAAAATAATTAAATATGAATATAAAATAAAATAAAAAATTATAAGTAATATTGCCCTTTTGTTACCACACATTAGCGTGTCTGTTTTTAAGTCTGGTTAAGGACAAGTAGGGGGAGGAAAACCCTCAAATTTTACTCTCACTTTGTAATAAGAAAATGTTGAACCTAATTTATTTTTATTTATAAATGATTTTTCTTTATTTTTTGTCTGTTATTTTGAAGTATTAGCCTGCTAAAATTTTACCTTTATTTCTGTATTGATTAAAAATAATTGTATATTATGTAAAAATCAGGCAAGCCCCTATTGTAAGCAATTATCACCACAGCTTTTAATGGAATACCTTATCTTATTCTTTCATTTCTACCAAATTTGTCATCTTTCTCTAAATATTGATTGTAAGAAATATGCAAAAAGGCTGCAGAAGTTCAAGCTAACGGTTTCTTTTTAACCGACTTCAAAAAGGAGGTTATCAATTCTGATGTTTCAAATCTTGAAAATCTAACCTATGGGGCATTCCACGCAATGCGGACAGGTAAAAAAAGTTGATGTTTCCGATTTTAGTAATATTTGATTATGTTATACCTATATATGTTCTCAATCCAAATACAAAATATTTTTACAGTATAAAATGTAGTTTACGATTTAGAGAGCTTTAAAATTGTGACTAACCGGCAGGTATGCGCCACTTCGAATCCCAGTATCCGGTATTGAAAAGATAAATGGAAATAAATGAAGTAGTCAAGTGTATGATTAATTTAATGAGCTTTTTAATTGCATTTTTGGATATTAAAAAAATTTTTTTTTGGGAAAAAGTTAGTGGAAGGCCCCCTATGTTACTTTTAAGTTTCATATTGAGTATAGTCTAAAAATTAAAAATTAATTAAGTATTTGTTTAAATGAAATATTTTGAAAGAGCAAAATGAGAACTGAAACTTTCAGGAGATGGAATTTTAGAGTTATTCTTAAATTCATTCATCAATTATTATTTCTTTGATAAATACTTAATTGTCCATTACTATACTACCATTTAGTGACTGATTGTGGTAATAAGTGAAAATTCAGCACTAGTCAACTAGTTCTTATATATTAAAATAAAGTTCTTTTTTTTTCAGTAAAAAAGCATCAGAGTATACTTTGCGCTTGATAGCAGAAGTCCTTCATATTATGAGGCTTGATGTTGAACAGGCTTCATACAACCGAAGCACACTTGCCGTTGCCGAGCAATGCCTGCGCCTCGTCCGCTCTTGTGCAGCAGCGGGCACCAAAATGCAAACATACATCTCGAAAGAACTGTCCATACTTGACTCTATGCTTATATTAGCTACAGAATACCAGCATCCCAGTGTTGAAATACTTAATGAAGAGCTGCAAAAGAAATTCGAAACCTGTATGACTGTGCTCATACAGACGCTCGGAAATCTCGTAGTCAACAATCCCTTTAATCAGATTATGATTTGGAACAAATTCGATGCCATAATTTTGAATTGTTTGGTCGGCCAAAATGATAAAATTGCTTCGTCTGCTGCCATGATAGTTTACAATATACTTTTGGGTCAACCGAACGTCTTGCCTGATGATGTTACTCTATTAAATTCATTAGCATATATGTATAATAATGGCAATGTTGAATACCCACATTTGATTATAGAGTATCTAATAGGGGTGGAGAACACTTACATAGAAAGATTATATTCCAAATTAGAACCTGAATGCCGCATGCTGGTGTTGAACCTTGCCTATAACATTTTAATGTCGACGGAATCACAAGATATAAATGTGTCTGTCAATTTTGTTAAGTTCATGGCTCACGAATTTAAAAGTAAATCTGATTGTATCCTAAAGACGGTTGATAAATATGTAAATAGTATAGAACCCCAAGAGGTTGTGTTTCTCCTTGAAATAATAGCCACTGCTTCTAGTATGGATGCTTACATGGACTGTTTGCAAAGTGATACATCTCTGTTTATAAACTGTGCTTGTAAGTATTATTACCAAATAAAAATAGTGATGATTGTTACTTAACATATGAGAGAGGTTGAAAGATTCCTAGATCATTTTCATTTTTAGTCTTACTTCGGGCCATCCACAAGCTTGGAAAAGAAAGCAACAATTTTTTTTCATCAATCAACAAACTATATGAGGCAACTGGTAAACATCTGATCAATGACGAGAATATATCTGCAAGTATCCCGCCAGAAAGTAAGTGCTCGTTTCTAATCGTAGAAAGAATTTTAGTGTTTATAGTGTTATGACTAAAAGATACATTTTCGTTCCAGCATGACGATAAAGAACAAATATACTTGAATTTATAATGCAAGCGCGAATAAAATACGCATATTTTTCAGTTCCCCTCTGCAAGAATGATTCGGCGGACAACATGCTTTCATGCAATGAAACAACATCCGAATGCACCGAATCTGAGAGCAGCGAGCAGTACTTCGAATGCAACGAAAACCCACCTTACTTAGATAAAATAGACACACTGAACACCCTGGACAATTTGCAAGCGCCCTTAAAGTTCCTCGACACCATGCCAGACCCCAAAAGCCGGAGTCCGGACTGCAATCCCAACGTAAAAATCGACAATGACCTGACGAAGGTCGCGTTCAAACGAAGCAGCTCCGTTCCGAAGACGGACGACCGCATCTCATTGCCGACCAGAAGGATAAGCCTCGAGCACAAGATCGACATAGGCGATGACAACGAGCCCCCGTTAATAATCGATTCGCAGTCACCGTCCGCCAGTATGAACACTATAGCGGAGGTCATCCCAGTGGGGCTCCAGCCACGATTAGACTTGCAAGAGAGCAGCAGGACGGAATCCCAAGACAGCTCACCGAACGACCCGCCCACGGAAATACACATGCCGCGAGACGACCTCAAAGAGGTAAAGGCATCGCCGAGCGAGATATCCCCACCGCTATCCGAAGCCCCACCCGAGGCCGAGTCTCAGAAACAATCGCCGGACACGCCGAAGGAGGTCAAAAAGAGTCAGAACCTATCGACCGATTTCGACCTCAGCGAGCAGCTGCAGAAAATTCTGGGCATATCGTCGGAGAAGACTCGCAACGACACCGCCAATGTAGAGAAGAAATCCGAACCGACGAAGGAGGTCAAGATAACTGAAGACAGTGCGACAAATAAAATACCATCGGTGAAAATCGACTCGCCCGAAACACAGAAAACACGGTTAGTTTAGTGGGTAAATTGCTTTTTTATCTATAAATCTTATTTCACTGGTGCAAACCAATACAATGCATATTATAATATAGAATAGGATCTTGAATTTCCAATTTTCTAGAAATCCTGCTTTTTTAATGTTATATTTGTTGTATCTAATATTAATATAGGCTTGGAGCGATAGACATGACGACGCCCAAAAAGGCGGTAACTTCTGTTGAGACGGTAGAACGCCACGTCGCGTTTGGTTTCAAGGCAGCTTTAGTTAGGACACTGGCTAACTTATGTTGGAAACATCAGGAAAACAGAAAACAGGTAATTATACATTTATATTCGAATCTGCTATAAACAATATTAAAAAAATACCTATGTGGATGTTTATAACATTCTAAAGTTATGCTATTTTCAGATGCGTGAATTAGAAGTGATACCCGTGCTTCTTGATTGTTGCAATATCGACGCGCGCAATCCCCGTATCCTTTTTATTTTTTTTAAGTGTTCGTTAAATATAATTTGGTTTTTATTTTAAAGAAAAAAAAAACATGAGCTCGTGTTTTCATCCTATACTAAGTGGAAGTAAGTTCGCTAATTCCATATGCTATCTACTTTTCTTGTTCATTTTAGCAAATGACATAACTGGTAACCATATCATAAACCGTATATCACAAACGTGTTAGAATTAAATATATAATAGTATAAAACAAAGTTATCCTGCTGTCTGTCTGTCCCTATGTATGCTTAGATCTTTAAAACTACGTAACGGATCTTGATGCGGTTTTTTTACTAGATAGGATAGATTCAAGAGGAAGGTTTATATGTATAATTACACTCGTGCGAAGCCGGGGTGGGTCGCTAATTAAATATAAGTTTATAGTAACCACGTAGGGCAAAAGATGAAGGTTCAGAGGGAAGCAACAACGGACTTGAGATTTGATGTTTTTTATGTGAAATTTGTCAAGCGAGCAGCCTCTATTAAATGGGCACCGCAGCCCATGAACATCTACAAAACCGAGAATAAACGCGAAAGTGTAATACTTTCACTTCATGCTCGTCTTTAGTGAGGCCTTGAAATTTGCCCGGACGAGCCTATCCATTCTTGCACAGAAGAGTAGCAGTAGTATGTAACCTTTATTTTTTCAGATGACTCAATTACATCATTGATTCATTCTGCCTTCTCTCCGTAAGTCAGTAATGTATATTTTAGAGGCTATTTATCAGACTTGCAATACCAATCGTAGCCTACAGACATGCGACGTACAGAGAAACTTGGAAAATATTTTTTTTTCTTCATTTTTGGGATTAAAATTTATAAAAACATTTATTAATCAATTTCTAAAGTAGGTCAAAAACGAGTAAGTTTTTAAATTTTATTCCTTATATAAAATACAGTAATTATGCAATGGGTCATATTTGCTGTGCGTAATTTATGTGAAAATTGTCCAGAAAACCAGGTAAAATAATACATGATACTTTCGCTATATTGTATACCTTATATAACAATTTTCAAGAGAAGTCCCAAATTATTACAATATTGTTTTCGCAGGAGGTGATATCAAGAATGACTCTTCAAGGCCCTGTAGACAATGAGGTATTACAGGAAATGGGGCTCACTCTTAACACAGATGCTCAAGGCAATACTATTAAAATAGCACCATTGCCCCGAGCCTAAATAACATTCCAATTTCTGCCTGTTTACCTTAATTCTAAATATTTATTCTCAATTTTCCGTCTTAGTAATTTATTCGGTTTGTTAGGCAAAAACAAGCGTATAAATTATAATCAGGACATCATACTTGTGCTGTGCTTAAAATATTTAATTAGGTACAAAAATGAAGAAAACAATTAATATTTTATAGGTACCATGTGTACTTTGTAAAAATAAATAATATAAAATCCATGACATTTGATGTTTTATTCATAACTTGTTTCAATTGCTTACCTGTTAACATCGAAGTTATTATTTTTTATTTTATAGTAACAATAACTAATGGAGTATATTGCTAAATGATCGAAATAGATTCATTGGAGACGTATTTTAGGCATTGGATGCCGAAAATCGATAAAGACCTTTTTTTTTTTAGTTACTAAACTAGGGCAAAAAGTAAAAACTAGTAGAAAAATGTTAAAGCGCTCAGGCGTGGGGAAAGGAAATCATTAAAGTGGAAACACTGCTCACAACAGCTAATAAAACAAGTTTGACGTTTCTATTTTGTTTTTAATTTTATATTATTTAATATTTACCATTGTCAGTTTGTCACTACTCGATAATTTTTCCTGATTAATATAAGTCAATACTCAAAATGGTTAAAATAGCCCTTCAAATTAAGGCAACTCTAGAATGTATTGAAAAACTTTATACTAACCATCCACATTACCAATGGTTCTTAAAGTTAAAATGTGGTAGTTGCGGTGAAATTTCAGAGAAGTTTCACGATCTTACAGAAGCTGAAAAAGTTCCACAGAAACATAATAGGTCAGAGACCAACTTGCTTATTAAATGCAAGTTGTGCTCCAGGGAAAACAGTATAGATGTTATAGAGGGGAGCAATGGTAAAGTCAATAGTGTCCAATATTAACCAACATCTAATACAAATTACTGTAATGTTCAATAATTTTCCTTGCTGATACCGATTACTCCTAGTTTTAAGTTGTTAGAATAATTTTCTACGATAGTGGCACATCAAAACAATAATTACGAAGCACAAACTAGTAAAATAATTTCAGTTATTCCATATTTCAAAGTAAAACTATGCACCGACATTTGGGTATTGGGTACAAAACAATATAACGTATGTGGTACTACATGTACAACATTCTTTATATAGTTTTAACCTTACCTATCAGATCGCTTTAAATAAGCAATGAACCTAATTTGTCTTCATTTATAAATAAAAATGCTTTAAGTAACCTGTCTTTTGAAAATTAATTTTGTATGCAAGATAATGGCAGATTTCCTTAAAATTGTAAGATTTAATTCTTTTTTCTCAATAACTTAATGTTGCTTATTTTTACATAGTAATTATTGTTTTGGTTATGTTACTCTGTTAAAACTATTTGTTATGAAAACCGCATGTGCCCCTATTGCCAGATTTTTTCTAACAATATCTTATTTTGTCTCACTAGCTATATAGTGAGAACCCAGCTAGCTAGTGAGATCAGCATCAAAAATACAATAAATAACTTACTGGTCCACAATGTTATAAGAAGCAAACCTTAATAAGAAAAGAAACAGAATACCACAAAATAATCTTTACTTCATTTCACAAGTAAGCCATAATAAAATGTGGCTAAAATGAATTATTTCTAGGTGTCTTTACAAACAATGATGTTGGAAAATTTAAGACTATTGTAATTTTTGACTGTCGAGGAATAGAGCCAGTAGATTTTGAGCCAAAATCTGGATGGATAGCAGAGGCAGAAGATGATGGTAAGAATTATAATTTGTTTTTGTTGATGTATATTGAATGTCTGATATATTTTAAGTTCACATAAAAATACAATTCATTTGTTTGAAAGGAACTGAATAACAAAAAGTCTATAGCTTTTAGTTTGTTAAAAACAATGCATTATGTTTATCTGTATGTTAATGTGTAAGCAAAACCAACTCATATATGAATGTTCTTTCACTATTTGAAACATGTTAGTCTAAGTGGATATAGAATAAACATTGTGTGTAGAAACTAATATAGACCATATACATAGAAAAAGTTTGCATCATCATTTTCATCATATCAATTTAAGAAAACTTATGTGATGAACACAAATAAGATGTAATATGTTACCAGGTATGTGTAAAAAGAGGAAAAAGCAACAATCTAATGTTCTTGCAATCTACAGTTTTAGTATTCAAAAATGTTTTGCTCTTCTGAAAAGTCAATAACAGGAAATATGTTTCCATGTGTTGATATTTTAATCTTAAATTACATTCTTTGTTAAAGATGTAAGTTATGATTTAAAATAATGAGTTATTTAAAGAGCTGCAAAGTTTTTAACCATTATGAAAAAAGATATAATATGACAGTCACAGCAGCTAATCAAGAAAGGGACTACAAGCTAAATTGATCCTAGGCAAAATTGGGACCAATTTCTTATTATTGAAAAGACTAGTCTAAAGCATTCTTTAATTTACATACATAAAATTTTCATATCATAATTGAACCTTTGACAATGAATCAAAGATTTTAGTTTTTGGTACCTTTTTTTTATTCCAGGCAAAAAATTTGAAGATGTTGATTTATCCGAGAAAGAATGGGTAGATTATGATGATAAGAATCAGACCTCTGTTGGTGTTTATGAGTTGGAGTGGCAATTTATTAAAGTCAAATAACTGTCCCGCTGGCTTGAAGTAAGCATTAACATTTTTATATATTTAATGGTAAGGTGATTGAATATGCATTCTATTTGTGTTTTATAAGGTCACATAGCATATTTATATTATCAAGCATTGGAATTGAAAAGCTGTTAGATGAAGGAAGGCCAATTCTTTTATCATTTTCAGAACAATAGGAAATTACCATACTGTGACCATCTGAACAAATCTATAAAACTGTACCTTACAAATAAATCAAGAAAAATGTGTATATAGTCATTCTTATAAGTTATATAATAAGCCATTTAATCTATTTTATCTTTGTTAAATATGAATTAAATTTTTTTACAAATATTGTTTGTTCTCTTATGAATATGATATTTATGAAATTCCCTTTTTAAATGGTATTAAAGTTAAATGAGAAATGGAAAGTCAAAACACAATTAGAAAAAAGTATGATATTTGAATCTAAATAGTTCCAATAATTTTTTTTAAAGTTATGAAATGTTTTTCTTATTAAATGACAACTATATTCTTTTTTTTTTATGTGAAAAGTTGCCAAGCGAGCAGGCGGTTCACCTGATGTTAAGTGAATACTGCCGCTCATGGACATTGGCTACACCAGAGGGTTACAGATGCATTGACAATCTTTTGAAGATTGGGCTCCGGCTACCTCACTCACCAGTCGAAACGCGAAAGTATTTATTATACTTCCACTTTATGCCAGTCTTCTGTGAGATCGTGGTACTTACCCGGACGAGCCTGCCCATTTGTGCAACAGGCTGCTGCGTGGCCCTACCACAGTAAAAACATATCTCTGTTGACCTGATGGCCATACAAGTACATATATATTACATGAACAGAATATCTGGGTCACTGTCTGATGTGAGTATAACAAAAATAGCTATGAACTGAACTGAATCTTTGGTAAATTCAGTTTAATTTTTGATTGAGAAGATTTGATCTTTGATGACTCTGTGGCGCAGTCGCCAAGGTATTGACTTCGGTGTCGAGGGTCGTGTATTTGATTCCCACATGGGACAACTATTTGTGTGACCCACAGATAGTTGTTTTGCATCTGGGTGTTTATCCACGTGAAATTTATATGTAAATTGTCCTCGCAATGCAGGATAGTGTTATCCTAAAGATAGGGCAATGTTTTTTTTTTTAATTCTATTTGGATTTAGTGCTGTAGGGAATAGGAGATTTGTTAGCTTTTCCTCAAACATGTATTTCAGTTGAAGATATTGTATATCTATATAAAAAAGGACCACCTGTATTTCAATTCTTCATAATGTTTGATATAATTTTATTTCTATTGATGACTGAATATTTCTGAATTTTTTACAAATCTATCGTGCAGTATTGTCATAATTAGTGATGTGCGTCATTAGATGTCTGAACTAGGAAAAGGAAGCGATGCACGCCACGTTCATCGAAAGTGAACCAGTCTCGGTCGACTTGGTACGGGAAAACGCAACATACGTGTGTCCATATAATCCATTCCATTCAGCAGAACGCGGTTCGATGCTATTGAAATACAATTGAAAAAGAGAGTTCTGTTTGGTGTATTCATTTTTTAAGGATACCGCATGAAATTTTTATTTGCACACGCTTGCGTGATAATGGTACGGAGTTAGCGAAACAAATGGTTTACTTTTTTCGTAAAACAGTCAAATTGGAACTCCATTTCAGCAAATTGCTGCAGTTCTATTATAACGCAGCGCTGATTTTCAAACGGAGCCTAAAGTTGACTTCACGGACGAAAATAGAAAGAAATAGAGAAAAAAAGTAACTAATAATAATACTTCACTAAATACCTATTTTAACAAATAATACGAATATGATGTTGTCATTCGTCAAAACATATCAAACCGATAATGATACAGAATAAATCAGGAAAACAGAGGTATACACTTGTTTGGAAAAACCCTTACCTGTTGAGTAGTCAGTTAAAACATAATCTTATTATCTGCGACTTTAATAATCATAATTATATTAACGTTAAGAAAAAACGTCCATAAAATAATCGATTAAACGTATAAACTTTATAAATTGAAATGTTAATAATTGGCCGAGAATAAAAAAGAAATAAGATATCACAGCATCACTCATTTACTCTTATACACTGATTTCCACAAATTACGTTCTCAACACATTAGTTCTATGGTTGTAACATCTAAATTAGTAATTTTCTCTACAGTTTAATAAATAGCTAGATGACATTAAATGTTAAGGTGTTTCCGTGGACGAGGTTTTTTCGGGATTATCAGATCGTGTCTGGAAGCCAGTGAAGCCGGTATTTCCGTGCACGGTGACAGTATGCTGCGGGGCGGTAGTAGGTACCTCATCTGATCTCGAAGAATCGCTGCGGTCGTCACTGCTGACATATTTATCTTCGGTATAAATGAACGGGTGGTGTATGTAAACTGGTATTTCAATGGGCACTTTCACGGGCACTCTAACAGGCACTTTCACCGGATACGGGACCTTCACTGGGTAGGGGACCTTTTTCTCGACTGGATAAGGCTTCGGGACGTATACCGGGATCCGTTTCTCGACCTCCACCTTCTGAGGCACTAAAACCTCCACGGGCACCGGAACTTCCTTCTCAACTTCCACGGGGTACGGGACTTTCTTCTCGACCGTTACGGGCACTGGGTGCGGCACCTTCACGGGATACGGCTGCGGATAAGGCACCCTCACAGCAACGTGCTTGATTACCTCAACCGGTTCCTTCACCTTCACTTCCACGGGGTAAGGTACTTTGCGTTCCACGGGATAGGGCTGAGGTACTAGCACCCTCACGGGCACTGGATACGGCACTTTCTTCTCAACCGGCACGGCGACGGGCCTGTCAACGGGCACCGGCACTTTGACCGGATACGGCACTTTCTTCTCTACGGGATACGGTTTTGGTACTTCAACATGCTTTACAACTGGCACGTGATGAATAATCGGATAAGGCTTGGGTACATATTCCCTCTCGACAACCTTAACAGGTATTGGATGCGGTACTTTAATCGGTACTGGATAGGGTATCTTCTTCTCAACCGTCACCGGAAATGGCCGATCCAAAATTTTCACCGTTTCAATTGGTACGGGGACCGGTACTTTCTTCTCGACCGGATAGGGTTGCGGCACTTCGACCTTGTACGGAACTTTGACGGGTTTTTCTACGGTCTTAACGTATCTGTGGTGATGATGGTGATGATGATGCTTTATTTTGGTAACAAATTTCGGTTGGTAGTGGCTGGTATCCGTCTGCAGGTCGGCGATAAAAAACTGCGGTGGCACTTGCAACCCTCTCGAGCTGTAAGCAGAATACAGATACGGGTTGAGTTGGCGCTTTCTCTTGAAGAACACCATTTTCTTTCCCTGCATTGTTGGTGGTTGATTTTGTGTTGTTTCTGTTACCGGGACTAGTCCGTACGAGTGGACGAAAAGCGTCTGTTTTCTCGGCGTGGCGATTTGTTGTTTCTGTTTTGTATAAATGACGTCTGATCGCTTGCCGATTGGAGTTTGGGCCTTGTATCTGAACATTGGATAGTGTGTTGGTATGATTGGCACCCAGTCATTTGTCGTCACTTCAAAGTTTGTTGGTTGTGTGGTCGGCTTTTGTCTAGGTGCCCTCGTGAACCGCCGGTTGCCTCGATTCGTCGGTAAGGCTGTTGTAGTTTTGGTGTCATTGTTGACCGTTGCAAACTTGATCCGAACATTTGTAGTTGCTGATGTCTCGTGGTCAATAGACCATGTATTTGTTGTAATGTTGCTATTTGTGTTCGTTTCAGTTTTGTTTGATGTCGCGGTAGCGTTAAGGGCGGTAGCGTTCATCTTTTCTAGTATTCTTTTCGGCCATATTCTTTTAGTTCTTAGCACCCGCGTGGTCGTTGTCGGGGCTACTGTCGTGGTTGTTGTGCTGTTAATTATCTTTGGTGGTCTGACAAAGTCTGTTCGGATACCGTTAATCGTCTGAACCGGTAAACTGAATTTCGGGCTTTTAGCTACGTACGGTTGGCCTGTCGAGGCGGCAAAAACAAGCGATGTCCTCGATAGATTGGAGTAGTAATGTTGTCCAGGTGGCAGCGGTATGACACGAGGGAATCGGAAAACTGAGTTCGTCGAGGGGTGCAGTTTGTGTGGGGATAGTTGAAAAGGATTTTGTGGGAGTACTTTAGGTAATTGCTTGTAGTACTGTTGGGGCAATTCGAGTTTTTTAGCCGGCGGTATTTCGAGCTTAATTGGCTGTTTATCAAGAGATTGTTTAATTGGTGGTTTCCTAGGTGGCCTCGGTTCTGGTTTATTTGTGTAATTTCCATGAGGCAGTCGGTTTGTTTGAGGTGAGTTTACATACTTTGCGCCATCTAAGATGGCCACAGATTTAGTCTTCGCCTCCTCGGCTAGTTGGTCCGTTTCGTTTTTACTTTGTACCGTCGCGCCACCATCATTGACGACGATCGCTAACGCAGTGATCAGGAATGCCGTCTGAAAAAAAATTCTTTACTTACTATTTAAATAATGCAGCAAAATATTGATAAATACTAATAGTACAAATTAATCTGACTTCCGTATATTTGATAAAAGTACATTACAGAAAACTTATGATTTTAATTAATTGAATTTTAGAATGCAATGAAAGTCTAATTAAAATATTAATATGGGTATATGTAGTCAATGATTACAGTTGTTCGTCGAAATGAGCGTAATCTTTAAAAATATATTATAGGCCTTGGGAAACTTCTCTGAAGAACTTCTATTGCCAAATAAATGTGTCCACGATAAAATACAAAATGAAAATAAACATTTGTATGTGATACTACTAAATTAACCATAAATATCTGGCACAAATTAATCTGTATTCATTTGCATTATGTAATTTGAATTATATTTACAATTGCTGTGGCTACACGATCACTGTGCACTAATCTGATGTTCTATATTGTAGAAATTTGTAATTTAAAAAAAAATGCACAAGCCATTCTGCAAAAATATAAATTTTTTTTTATATAATGATATCTCACTTTACTTATGTCACCAATTATAGAAATTTACAAACTTTTAATATTTTAAGGACTTTCTTGATAATATGATTGCATGTAATTTAGCATCTTATCACTTCAAAGACAATAACGTAAATCGTCACATTACTTTACCCCTACTATGAGTCATATGTATAAAGTAAAGTAAAGTATCAGCCTATACATGTCCCACTGCTGGGCAAAGGCCTCCTCTATACAGAGGGTATCAGGGCACAGTCCACCACGCGGCCCCATTGCGGATTGGTGGACTTGACATATCTTCGAAATATTTTTTTTTTTGTTATTATTTCGAAAATATGCAGGTTTCCTCACGATGTTTTTCTTCACCGCTGAGCACGTGATAATTCAGCACTTAAAATTGACAATTTCATTGGTGCCGGCACCGGGGATTGAACTCGGGTTGCTCGAGTATATTGAATTAAAGGCGAGCGCCCGGACACTGAGCTATCACGGCTAGCCATATGTATATTTCACTTTAATCACAATGATCACCAAATTGTTATTGTAACATCACTTTTATCACTCACTTTAGCACATCACCATTGATCTGATTGTGTGTTTCCCGCGCATTTTTAATTCCTAGTGCTGTACCTACCGATAAATGTTGCATAGTGTGGAGCGGCGGCCGTTCGCGAATATGTACGTAATGATTTGTCCAAGGAAGCGTTACTCACTTAAATAGCGTACCGATGATGGTTGGGTGTCGGACATTGACTTTCACTGACCGCACCAATATCATCCCAAGTTTGCTTCTAAACACGTGTAGTTTTCTCAAAAATCGATCGTGAATAAATTTTACAATAAAAAAAAATATTTATGATCGTCTTCATATTTCCAATGAAGATTTTAATAAATAAACTAATCACTGACTTAACAATTGCTACTAGAAGGTGTGGTGATACTTGGATGATACTTTTTTTGTTTCATTATCCAGAGATTATACTTAAAAACCTAGTGCCCGCCCAAATAAAAAAAAAAAAAAACAAAAATTTAACAACATGATAGGCTAACAATTCTATCGAATACCGAGTTAGTTTATTTTATAATTTTTACACATTCAAGCAGTTGACTCGTCTTTCACGGTATAAAAGTATTCAATCATGTTGTATACTATAACTTAGTTATGTTATATATTATAAACCTTTTTCTGCTGGACACATGTTACTGCACTTCTCATATTTATGTTTATCAGCTCTGTAGTCGTTAAATAGCACCAACACTGATAAACCTGTCTGGATTAAAGACGTGAGTTCTTTGTCTAATTTCGAATGGTTTAATAGAATGAGCGGTCAACCATTCCGGCATTAGTATGTAAGTTTTTAATGACCTAGACTTGACAACCCATTTTATACAACAACTGGTCAGCTTAAAAACCGCACTCTCTCTGTGCCCACTTCCATAATCGAATCACTTTCAACCGCGATATTAACGATACCCCCAACGGAGAACAAAAACGTCACTCTGTCCGGTGGAGTTGACCTATATTTTTTTCACTTTTCGAAAATTACAATTAATTAATTAATTTATGATAGCTTTTAACTTTATTTTTTGCAATTAATTATTACCAGCGTAAACGAAATTAGCTTTAGCTTTACCTGTTTATACCCTGTTAGGTTTAAAGTTCAAAATTTTTGAGTAGCTTGTTTCTGCCGGATCTCCTGGCAAACATAACTCTGCGAGAGCAGTTTGTCGGTACGCCACAGGTCGGTGATTTCTAGCAGTTGCGCCTTCAGTATCTGCGTCATTTTGGTGAATTTCATCAAAATTTTTGAGTAGCTTGTGTCTTCTAAGACTTCCGAACACACTAAGATTCCTCAATAGATACTAGCTAGCCTTAATCCGTCACAAGACTTGGGAACATTCGTTAAGTTCGTAAGTTCAAATTTTGTTTCTAGTCGTGGCGCTTAATTGCTCGGCTATTAACTTCGGCGCCGGGAGTCGTAGGTTCCGCGTTCGATTCCCACATGATACAAGTATTTGTGTGAGCCACAGATAAATTGTTCCGGATGTTATCAAGCTTGTGGGTTCTGGCTAGCCCACGAAGTCTCCGAATCGATGAAATGGACTGAAAGGAATAACATCAGTTAAAATAAATGTAAGTCAAAGTTGTCCCAGATTTTAGTGTTTGTTCCCAATGAGGACTTGCGTCAGACACCACCGTCGGCGGTGCCGCCGGATAACTTTACGCACACAGTTAGTGCAACAGCAAACAACATAGTTCGTCCTCGCCTTCAAGCACGGCGAAACTAACATAACGCGTACGCTAGATACACCCGCGTTTCAGGTCGGTTCTCACCGCCCTTAGCCACTGACTAACCAAGCACAGTCAACGGGCATTGGGAACATGGTCTGCACCGAACCTGGCTCGTAGACGACACTCCTTAGCTAACGCACGCATGAGGACATGCTTGGCCCTACCCACTGTGGAGGGTCTCAAACACGTGGGTTCTGGCTAGTTCACCGGTTCGGCGTTCGATGAAGCTTTAAAAGTCTCGGGACTGAAAGCGTTAACATCAAATAATACAAGATACAAGAATCGCGTCAGACACGTGGATCATGAATCCATGAGTAACGATTACGTTATTCTTAACTAGCGTGAAACTTGATTTAAGTTTAATAACTTAAGTTAAGTGTTAACTGACATCTTTGAGCGCGGCAGTTGTTTTGAATTTTATTGCTGCGGTTATAACTTGTGCTTACATTTAAATTTGCACGATATTGAATCAACAGGGATGAATTCGATGTGTAAAAAAAGTTATCCAACACCCTTCCTGCTTCCGATGTTCCGCACCTTACCTTTTAATAACAGAAACAGCTATAAATTACACAACTAAGTTAATTTCGCACGCAAATGCAACTCGTGTTCTATTCTATCGGTTATTTAAATGCACGATATATGAAAGTCATTTAATGGTTTCTGATCTAGATTGCAGTTTCTCGATTAAACATAGTTTTTTTTTAAATTCCAATATATCAGTTGCCTGCAATTCATCATCATGCTCCTGCCTTTATAGGGTGGTCACAACGTGTAAATCATGTTGTAAGTGGTTTTGGCTAGATTTTTAGCCACCTGCCTGACGTCAACCTTCCTTGGGAACAAACACCCAGATCCGGAACAGTTATCTGTAGGTCACACAAATGTCTCGAGTGGGAATCAAACCCACGACCCCGACGCAGAAGCCAATGGCTTACAAACTAGATTTATGTCAACACACTTTACACAACAGTTCGAAATGTCGGTAATTAAAATTAAAAATAAACGCGATAAATCTGTACAAACAGTTTTATTTAATGTGTAGTCAGAAATCAAAGAAATTATCAGTGTGGAAATTGTTTAACCTCTTTTGATATGATTTTTACGTCAATTTTATTCGAGAAGGTGGTAAGCTAGCAGGTTTAACTGATGTTAAGTGTTATAAGAGTGCAGCCCGCGTTACTGCGAATACGCGAAAGAACAATACTTTCACTCCACGTCAGTCTTCTGCAAGGTTGTAGTAATTCCCCAGACAAGCCCTTGAAATAACGAACTAATACCGAGTCCCGGGTTTCACAGATGCTAGTTTCCACGAGTAGAATGGAACCTAAGCTAATGGTCACGTATGTGGGTGCGTCGTAGAGCCGTGATAGCTCAATGACAGAGCACTTGCTTTTAATCCAATATATTCAGGCAACCCCAGTTCAATCCCCTCGAGTTCTGAATTATCACGAGCTCAGCGATGAATAAAAACACCGTGAGCTAATCTGCATATTTCGAAATAATAACAAAAAAAGTATTTCGAAGATATGTGAAATCCCCCAATCCGCATTGGGTTAGCGTGATGGACTATTCCCTAATACCCTCTATACTGTGCCTGTGCCCTTCTGTGGGACATATTTAGGCTGTTGCTTTATTTCACTACATTGTGGGTGCATCGAAGTTTGGTATTCGGACTATGTATTATTAATTGCCAAAACGCGGGTGTACCCGTGTTTGTAGACGAGTACGCACAACTTTGTTGGCACTACATGTGTTGTGTGTCGTTGGGCGGGGGACCCCCATTTTAACACCGGGGCAAGCTATTTTCGAACTAGTCAATGAGAACGTTACGCTGGCGACATGCAATAATTCGTGCGACAGCAAAGCTGCTGCATGGCCCTACCACATTATAACTAACTCGACAAAGCAAATAAACGAACAGTGAACTAAAACTGGGAAGTTGATGAATGTAGATGGCTCAGGATCGTGTTTCGTGGCAGATTGTGGCCTCGTGTAAGCCTCCCATACTTTCAACAGTGGACTCAAACAGGCTCAAACTATGATGATGCTGATGGAACTAAAACTATCCTGCAGAATAAGATACATGTTTACAAATAAATATAATTTTATTCACTGTATCTCTTTCAAAATCTTAAGCCTATATTTATCTTCCGGGAACCTCATCTTGACAATCTGCCGGATCTCCTCGCAAACATAACTCTGCGAGAGCAGCTTGTCGGTACCCCACAGGTCGGTGATTTCGAGCAGTTGCGCCTTCAGTAGCTGCGACATTTTGGTGAATTTCATCCATATATTTATTTTCGCTTCGAGCTCAATCTCCTCCACGAACAGGGATGGATATTGACAACTGTGTCGTCGAAACGCAAAGCGAGCATGTACGCCAACTCTTCGCTTATTGGCTTACTGTCCGCGAATACTTTGTCCAACATTGCTTGGCACAAAGCCTGGGCCAGTGTGCATATTGAGAGCTCGTACATTCGGACGGGGAGGATATTGTGCCAGCTGGACTTTAAATCCTTCATTAGGGTCAGCGAGCTGTTTATCGCCGCGTCAAATATTTGGTAAGATTCGTGAGTCCATGGCAATTCTGAGAATAAAATTAAAACATAGCATATGTAAAAAATGTTGAAACTGTATGACTGAACAACTTGGCTGCAATCTTAATTTCTTATGCGAAAAGTTATCATAATAGCATGTAGTGAATGATCGGATTTTAAGTGAATACCGCCGCCCATGGACATCAATAACACCTGATGACAGCTCACTGACCATTGAAACGCGAAAGTCTTCCACTTCACGTTAGATGGTGTATTTGTTTACGTATTTTTAATAAATGTCTAGAAATATAATTTTTTACAATAATAGTTACTATAATGAAGTATATTAAAGTTTCAATAATTGAAAACCAAACAATGAAATCGACAAATGGTTTCACAGTCATTGAAGTACATTTTTTTGTGATGTTAAGTCATAAATGCCAACCCTAGACAACTACAACACCAATAGGGTTGCAAATGCATTGCAACCTTTTAATAAAATAGGCCCTGGCTACCTCAGTTGCTAAACAAAACAAACAAACATAACTTCTATGCTGGTCTTCTGTGAGGTTGTGGTACTTCCAACGGATGAACCTAATATTCATGCAACAGCGAAAATATATGTGTGGCCCTAAGATAGTTGCTTCTTATTACAGAAGTAACCTTGCGAACTTTAATGAAAATCATGGATTTTACCAGTGTCTTCAATTTTCTTAGTTATATCATTCTTCTGAGTTTGTAGATACAGTGATATTTTCTCCAGACCAATAACCCTGAGATCTTGAATGCATTCTATAATAACTGTTGTAAGAAGATCCGCAAGTGTGGCAGGCAGTATAATTCTCCATGGTGGTCCAAGTAGACTATGGGCAAGATAGTAACAGTTATTGAAGAATAATGCTGAAATAAAATAGACAACATTCAGGTTAACAGAACTTTTGTTAATCAAGGACATATATTATCAAGATTTTATTGTAATTTTTGTCACATGTCAAAATCAATGTAAAATTTCCAGGTTGTAGCCCATGTGCAGGCCTATACCTTATATGTATTGATGAATGTATACATAAGAGTTGGCTGTTATTTTAATAAATAGAAATGTAGTTCTTATCATTAAAAATTTTGCTACATGCATAATCAACCATCCACATTTAAGAACTCTAACATACAAGTATAGTACTTGACCATGAAAGGCATGAGCTGCTATATGTTGAATCAAGTTTAAGAAGCGCTGTTAACTGGACTACAGACAATAATTAATTATACTTACCAATATCCAAAGCGCAATATTCTAAATTAACCTTAAATTTCTTTGGCACTATGCATTGGTACATAACAGCAATGTCCTTTATATACAGAATCAGTTGTCTGCTGTACTTTTCGGGAAGTTTAGCACTTTCTTCCAAGTGCTCAACAATCATAGTCATGATCTTTTTAACATTTTGTGAAATAACACACTTTGGGAGGAATATGGGATTGTTTAGTTCCCATAAAAAATTGTCATGGTTCTGAGCATTAGTCAAATTAAGTGTGGATTCATTTGTTGGTTGTGGAACATTTCCAACAACCAAAGTGCCATATGGCAAACTTTCACCAAGTAAACTTCTAACATCTGACAAAAGTTTATCGCACTTCTTGCTGTATAACACACATTCTGTATCATTGATATACTTATTTAGAGGTGACTTATCCATTTCAACAAATTTTAAGTCTACAAGAAACTTGTTAAATGACTCCAGCTCTCCAACTATATTTTTATAATTCTGGTAAGTGCTATCACATGATGGTAAGTTGTCCCTTATGCAATCTTCAATGATTTTGTTGAAAAATTTCTGTCTTATTGAATCAGCAAATACTTGAATGAAATTTTTATCATTCTCAAATTGTAAGCCTAATGTTGACTGGAGGAATTCAAAAATGGCCGTTAAATTATTGAAAATTGTTTGAAAGTTTGGCTTCTTTTGATCATTCAAATCTATTTTTATATTAAATACCAAAGCTCCTAAATGATCTTCAGTAAAAATATCACAATTATATCTTATCGCATTATGAAGTAACTTATCAATAAAGAAATGTGAAAAAAGTCCTAATTCAGCATTAAGCCTCTCTGTAGCATACAGAGACTTTAAAACGTTTTGCATAAGAATTGGATCACTTTGCTGGACACACAAGGAATATGTAAGATAGTAAAAGCTCTTTTTCTCTGTCCAAGTAAAAATGTCTTCCCATTCTACACTCAGTTGAGCAGCATATAATGCCAATTGGTTTTCTGCTTGACCACCCAAGTTCGAAAGAGCCTTAGCGGCATTCCCTTCAAATTTAAGAGAGCTAAGTTGCATTTGTAATTCTTTAATGTTAAGCATAGCATCTGTATAATTATATCTACCAAATTCATGACTCGCTTTATCCAATATTTGCTTGCCTTCAACAGCAATACATAAACTATTTAAAACTTTAATCGCATTATCCAACTTTTTGCAAGAGTTACAGAATTCTTCATTCATTGTTACTGACTTTTCATTGATTATTTTTATATCTTCTAACATTTTATTATAGTCCGACAGTATATTACATTTCCGATTTCGATAATTAATTTGTTCCAAGCTTTTTGTTGGTGTATAATTACAATAGGTATCTATGAAATTTTGCTGTAAAGCCCACGATAATAATTGAATTCTTTCAATTAGATCTTTTAACATTGGAAGTATTTCTTCACGTTTCTTGTTTACATCTTCTTTAATAGCTTTATCCGCTTCTTGTAAAGCAGTATTCAATAAACTCATCTTTCTATTGTTTTAGTTACTTTAGTAAGATCTGAATTCTGTTAATTAAATTCAAGTTTCAAATTTGAAGTGACATTACATTTACCGGCAACGGCAACCGATAAAGTGTAACAGATTATAGAACAAGTCTATAAAGTTACAGATAAAGCGAAAAATGTCTGCATTTTTCTTACCTAACTTGCAACCTTTGAAATAAATGATAAATGAATATTGGTTTACGCACTGTTAAAATTTAATTGTTTTTATTAAATAATGAATTCCCATAGAGGACAGTGACATAAACTTATGTACTCTACTTACGGTCATCAATGTTTCGTTGCCAAGATTGTTTAATCAATGAAATAAGAAACCCAATCAGACTAAAAATTTATTAGTAGGTAAATTTATAAAAATGAATGAAGATGAAATTGAAAGCCTCAAGACAGAATTGGAACATGAAAAAACCTGCCGGTTAGTCATATAGTGTATAATTAAACTTAATAAACGTATAGTACCTATCAATAATGAATATAATAAATATATGAGTCTCTTTGTACAGATTATGAATTTGTGCCATTTGCGTGCAACTTTAGTTCCGTGAGTTTAGGGTATTTTTTTTAAATGATTTATATCGTATTTTTTTTTTTATTATACCTAGACTCTTCGCCGCAGTTGGTGTCAAGAGGGCTTCTTCTTTTCTCGCACAAATCTTAAGAATAACTATTACGCGAGAAAATGCAGAATCGAGGATATGTAGGCACCTGAATGGTTTGCTGATGCGATGAAAATCTTTAAAAAAGTGGGCCCCGATTACCTTACTCCCTAGACGGAACACGAAAGTATAACAACTTCAACTTTACGCCAGTTTTCAATGAGGCCGTGGTGTACCCCGGACGAGCCTGCCCATTCGTGCGACAGTAGAAGCTGTTGCGTGTCCCCAGCGGCGGATTTGTAGTCTTGGCCGCCCTAGACCCCAGTCCATGTAGTAAGTTCTAGCCGTCCCATTCTCAGAGCCCATCACATATCTTGTTATCATCAGTTTATTTTTTGTCACGATTGCCCGCCCTTAATACGTGGCCGCCGTAGGCCTGGGCCTATTGGGCCTTAGGGCAAATCCGACACTGCGTGTCCGTGCATGTAATTTTGTTAGATTCAATATTGTTAATATTTTTTGAGATATCCTTTGCTAAAATAAAACATATAATAGGTAATATGAATCTGACGATTTATAACTTTTAATATTTGTTAATCAGTGAAGCCGCAGCATGGCAAAATACAGAGCTTGAAAAGCAGATACTCTCTATGCAAGAAGAATTAAGAAAAAATGACTATCCTTGGGAAAAAGATGACAATTTACAAAAGGAAAGCACAAGACATAAGCATTTATTAGAAGCAATAGATACCTTGAAAGAACAATTACCGATTCTAAAAGATAAAATTAAAAATGCCAAAATTTGTGGGCCAGGTATATAACATAATTAGACTCGTATAATATTAACAAATTACCGTTTTCGATAAAAAAAAGTTTATATTAAACAAATTCATAACGTATATCTATTTTGTTTTTAGATTGCAAATTGAAACATGATGATCTCAATATTAACTTGGACATTCTTACTCCTGTAAGTATTTTTAATAGCGACTGATTACATTATATTTTTTATGTCAAAAATATATTCTTTTTACTAGCTAATCAATATATAATTTTATTGATACATAAAACATATAATTTTATTCTGTAAAAACTCATAGGCCGAATTATTGCGCACCGTGAAAAGGTTTGAAAGACTTAAGACAGACTTGATAAGCACATTGCGGAGCAAGGAGTGGCGGTTGGATTCAGAGTCAAAGGTATTTTCTGCATGCTTATAAAGTAAATTAAAATTACTCAAATATATTCGCTTAATCAGCATCTTCATTTCAGTCTGAGTGATTCTACTGAACATAGGTCTCACCTACAGATCACCATGAAGCACATTCCTGAGCCAATTGCATCCATCGACTTCCCGCACACTTGCACAGGTCGTCACTCCATCTAGTTGCTGGTCGTCCTACGCTACGATGGCCAATACGAGACTTCCAATAGATAACCCTCTTTGCCATTGATTATCGATTTTTCGAGCTATATTACCGGTCCATTGCCGCTTCAGCAAACTACTTCACTAGTCATAATTATCAACGTAACGTAACAGCCTATACTTTATAGATCTCACATTCGATAAAAGCCTCCTTTGTTCATAGAGTATGAGGACGTAGTCCACGACGCCACCCTATTGATGAGTACCTATATACTTCGCATACCCACGAAATTTTATATATTTAATCGAGTTTCCGCACGATATTCAGATACGCAGATTTCAGTGGTGAAGTTCTCCTTCACCACGTGAAGGAGAACTTCACCACTGAATACGTGAAGAAATTAGTACCTAAATTGTAACAAAGTCATGGCTGCTGCCACCGAGTTTTTTTACCAGAAACCATGTTGCTCGAGTTTATAAAAAAAGAAAAACGATCGCCCGATCACTGAGCTACTAGACACAAATTTATTTGATGAAAAGAGCTAAACTATACCTTTCTTTCTTTTTATCAATTTTGAAATAATAAATACAGCGTTATTTAACAAGGGTAACAAGGGTTTGTTAGCAATACCCATCAATGGGCTGGCTGAAGTATCCGTCGTAAAGGGATATCGAGTACGCTGTAGCCAATATTGGGAGGATGTGAAAACGGTGCGATGTCGCCGACTTGGCCTTGAAATCACTGATTTAATTGTAAATAATATATTTCAGTTGTTCGTACGCGTTAACGATCAAAGGACGTACCTGCAGAACGAATTGATGATTTGTCACAACAACATAATGCGTCTGCAGAGAAATGGCTCATATTGGCAGTAAGTGTACATAACATGTATAAATATCAATCTTTGGTACATAACATCTGATCGCACTTCTGAATTTCTTGACAAGTCAGTCTTCTTGTCGTCGTCAAAATCAAGTCAAGTAAATCGTCTTGTCAAGATTCTTGACAAGTAATTCAAGAATTGGCAATCGACCAAAATCAAATGTAAATACTATAAATGCGAAAGTTTTGTGTAGTCCTAATAAAATTTTACAGAAAGCAGAGCTTGCTGTTGGACTTATAAACTTATCTCAAAAGGAAATTCTTTGCAGCAATAGTTTTTTCATGCCATGGCAAGCGAACAGGCGGTTAACCTAATGTTAACGAATTGCTGACCATGGATATTATCAAAGCGTTGTTACTTTTGAAGTATCAAGCCCCGGTTACCTCACTCACCAGATGAGAAGTTAAAGTATAACACTTACTCTCCACGCCGGTTTTCTGTGATGGTGTGATACCTCATGTGGTCCTAGTACAGCCACAAAGCAATAATCACCACACATGAACATTAAAAGCACTCATTGTACTGCAGTTGCGTTCCTAATCTTTTAAGAATGCGGGCCTTGAGTACCTGAGCAAAAGTATACGTTATTCAGACCGGTCTTCGGTATCTGTTGGGAGACTACCAGAAAAATCATCAATACAGTAGAAGCTGTAGGTGGTAGGACCACGCAACAGTATTCGCTGTTGCACGAATGGGCAGGGCCGTCCCGGTTAGTACCATACCTCACAGAAGACCGGCGTAAAGTAGAAGTGTTACACTTCTG